TGGAGAAGAGTAAAATTAATCTCTAGATAATAGGAATAATTATTATTCTATTATTTACATGGTGGTAGATGGTATAGCAGGAGGCTATTAACAGAAATAGAGCAAATATTAGTTTACCTAGAAAGCAGCTGTCAGAATTGGACAATGGATGAAGTTACCGAAGTAGCAATAGCACTAAAACCACCCAGTCAGCCACTGTCAATAGAGGATATGATGTGGAAGGATAGTGGTTACAACTAAAAATGGCATATTAGTAGATAGGCTAGATCAGCTAGCAAACCCTAGAGAATTGACAACATAGGTCCAACACAAAAACTTGTTCATAAATGCTCACAGCAGCATTACCTGTAGTAGCTAAAAAGTGGAAACAACCCAAATGTCCATCAACTGATGGATAAACAAAATATGGTATATCCATGCAATGTAATACTTTTCAGCCACAAAAAGGAATAAAAGATGAACTTTGAAAACATTATGTTAAGTAAAAGAAGGTCATGAAAGGCTAACATTGTATGCTTCCATTTACATGAAATGTCTAGAACAGGTAAATTCATAAAGACGAAAAGTAAATTAGTGGTTGCCTATGGCTGGGAAGGTTTTGAAGAAATGGGAAGCCAATGCTAATGACTAAAGGATTTCTTTTTAAGATGATGAAATGTTCTAGAATTAACTACTGGTGATGGTTGCACAACTATGTAAATATACTAAAAACCACTGAACTGTACACTTGAAAAGGGTGAATTTGTGGTATGTGAATTATGTCAATAAAGTTGTTATAAAAAATAGCTAGTAACAACGAATTTAGTTTGTAGACATGGTACGTTAGTTGATAACAAGATAAATTTAGCTTATAAATCACTTGCCATACACAAAAGGCTATAGAAAATTATTTTCAGTGAACAATTAGCCAGATATAAACTTTCTTTCCTTCCTGTCCTAGTAACATCAAAAGAGAAACAACTAAGCAACATATAAATAATTCATTATTGAAGTTAATAAAAATTAAAAAAGAGAAATAGCAAAACTTAACCAAGACACTATGGTCTAACTGGGCACAAATGTGTTCTTTCTGGAGTGGAGGACAGATTAAAAATTAAGGTTATGGGAGAAATTTTGAATCAAGAAAATATTTAACTAGAGATGCTCCTGGGTGTTGTAAGTACAACTTATACAAATTTGCCCTCATGCAAACAGCGGCACACACAAGGCACATAATCAAATTGGGCGAGGTGGGAAACTTTGCGTGTAGATACCACAAGGTAGGTTGGGGAATGCCAAGAATTAAAAACATCAAGTGTCCTGTGGCCCCCAGAAGCTGAAGGCCTCAAGTTACTAGGCAGGTTGTCCCTTCCTCAGCGTTTCTCCAGAATTATCTATGTTACTGCCCTTCTCATTCCCTTTTATTGAGTTCTGCTGATGACTAGCAGGAGCTCAAGCAATAGCCAGAATACAGAATTCATTATGCACAGAAACACTGACTTAGAGCACAGTTCCGAAGCATCAGAGAAATCTGGCCGAATGCTGTCTTTCACTGCCCTTGTACTTGAGCTGACTATTGCCACAATGAAAACATTCAGAATGAGGGCACGGGCAAAAAGAAGGAGGGGAATGAGAAGGAACAGAAGCAGCGTTGCTGAAAGGTCTGGCACATTCAAATCCACAAAGATAAAAACGAAGGTGGGCTCAAAGTGCTATTCTGATATGGTGAAATCAATCACAAACGTTATAAAAAGAATAAAGCTAAAAAGATGAGTACCGCTGAGGTTGATTCAGTAAAGGCTCGAAAGTTGGTTTGAAAACAGAAAGCGTGGTTACAGAATGGCCTCCCCGTCATTTTATTTTTTTATTTTTTTTAAGATTTTATTTATTTGACAGAGAGAGACACAGCGAGAGAGGGAACACAAGCAGGGGGAGTGGGAGAGGGAGAAGCAGGCTTCCCGCCGAGCAGGGAGCCCGATGTGGGGCTCGATCCCAGGACCCTGGGACCATGACCTGAGCCGAAGGCAGACGCTTAATGACTGAGCCACCCAGGCGCCCCCTCCCCGTCATTTTAAAACTCACGAAAATGTTCAGAACTGGAAAGCAAGCGGAGAGACTGCTGGTTTAATCATGAAGACAGCAGTCGTGCATCTCAAAGAATTGTGAACCTATTACAGAAAAATGTGGTTACAGAACAAGCACAGTTAACCTTTAATTTGGATGAAACTACTTTTTAAGAAAAAATTTTAAAGTCAGGGCATTTACTTCAAAAGAAGAAACTGTCAGGGTTTAAGGCTGTAAAAGGTAAACTGAGCCTTTTGCTTGAGAATAACATGGCAGAAGATTATGTATCAGTATCTCAACTTGCTTATCCCTCAGAAAGGCCACGTATATTTAATACACTTTCAGCTCACACAGAATCCTGATTATACAAAACCATGCAAAAGAGTTGCACAAGTCAGGGAACATTCTCTATCAAAATAATTCTGACAAGTTTCTATCTCACTAGAATCTCCTAGAGTTAATATACTGGTATTTAGATGATTGGATCAAATAATTCAAGCTAAATGGGCATGTTTCAGATTCTGATATTACTTACATTTTATTTATAATTCATGTTAATGATGGGATAAAACCACATTCAAATCTGCTAGAACAATGCTGAATACTCACTCACTCAGAGGTCCTTAAGTACAATCAGTGAAAGCTACCTAAACCTGGGCTAGTTAACAGGTTATTTCTAGGACTCAGCTACTGAAGATAAAGTGGAAATGTGTTATTCAGTGATGTGCTGGAGCAGACCAATCACCAATCACATCTCTTGTCAATGCTGAGCTTAGAGACACAGCATTGATAGGTCAAAATCAGCCTTTGGTGGGAGTATTTACATCACTGAAATCAGAAAATGGTATAAACCAGAGCTTCTTTTTCTTCTTTCTGAGAGTCATTTCTTATAGATGATTATTCATCATCTATAAATACTGCAACTGTACAATTCTAATATTTGAGAGAGAAAAAGAGAGAGAGCATGAGCAGGGGGAAGGGCAGAGGGAGAAGCAGACTCCCTGCTGAGAAGGGAGCCTAATATGGGGTTCCATCCCAGCACCCTGGGATCATGACCCCAGCTGAAGGCAGACATTCAACCAACTGAGTCACCCGGTGCCCCCCTGGGAAAGCCTTTGAATAAAGGGGCCTGGCCTTTGCCATTTTTTCCCTCTGTTCTCCTTTCTGCAACCTGGAGCTTAGATGTGATGGCTGCAGTTCCAGCAGCTGTTTTGTCATTTTGAGGATGAAAGACTTGTACTAAAGATGACAGAACAGATGGAAAGAAAGATCCCTATTCCCTAGTAACTATAAAAAAGCCATCAAAATAACCCTGAACTGCACTACCTCTGGCTCTTTTGTGTAAAAGAATAAAGCCTTATAAAATAAGTTTACAGTAGGTAGGTCCCTTTTACCAACAGTCAAATAAAATCTCTAATGAATACAAATCTTAGCTTCAATGGCAGAAAGTACAGAAGCCATGCAGAGCTACTTAAGGAATGCAGTACCTCAGCGAAAGGAAGAAATTCATCACATGCCTTTCTCCCTTACTGGCCAGATTTTCTTTTCTTTTCTTTTTTTTTTCTAGAAATGACATGATTTCATATATTGAAAAAAAAAAACCCAAAGAATATACAATAAATATTAGAGCAGGATACAAAATCAATATGTGAAAATTAGTTGCATGTCCATACCCTATCAATGGAAAATCTGAAAAAAAAACTTAAGAAATCACTTCCATATACAATAATATCAAAAAATAAAATATCTAGGAATAGATACAATAAAAATGCAAGTTTTTTACACTGAAACTACAAACAGTTTCAAAATTAATTAGAGAAGATAAAAGTAAATGGAATAAAAAAAAAACACAGTATGGTAGTGGCACAAAATCAGACACATAGATCAGCAGAACAGAATAGAGAACTCAGACATAAATATATTTATACCAGGAATATAAACTGCTATAGCCACAATGGAAAACATTATGGAGATCTGTCAAAAAATTAAAAATAGAACTACCATATGAACCTGCAACTCCACTTCTGGATATATTATCTGAAAGAAATGAAATCATTACCTCAAATGAGATATCTGCACACTCATGTTTATTGAATCATTATGCACAAGATATGGAAACAACCTAAATGTCCTGTGATGGGTGAATGGATAAAGAAAATTTGGTATGTAGTGCTCGCTTCGGCAGCACATATACTAAAAAAAAAAAGAAAATTTGGTATGTATGTTTTTTTCACTATTTTTTCCATTTAAATTCAGTTAATTAACATATAGTATATTATTAGTTTCAGAGGTAGAGTTGAGTGATTCATCAGTCTTATAAAACACCCAGTGCTCATTACATCTCATGCCCTCCTTAATGTCCATCACCCAGTTACCCCATCGCCCACAGCAACCCTCAGTCTGTTTCCTATGATTAAGAGTCTCTTGTGGTTTATCTCCCTCTCTGATTTCATGTTGTTTTATTTTTCTGTCCTTTCGCCTATGATCCTATGTTTTGTTTCTTAAATTCCACGTATGAGTGAAATCAAATGATAACTGTCTTTCTCTGATTGGGTTATTTCACTTAGCATAATACCCTCTAGTTCTATCCATGTCGTTGCAAATGGCAAGATTTCATTTTTTTGATGGTTGAGTAATATTCCAGTGTGTGTGTGTGTGTGTGTGTTGTGTGTGTGTGTATGTCACATCTTCTTTATCCATTCATCTGTCGATGGATATCTGGACTCTTTCCCTAGTTTGGCTATTGTTTCCTTGCCACATTTTCAAGAATAATTTTATAGCAGGTGAGTGGAGGGCAAGCACCCACAAGTTAAAATTAGATGACTAGTAGCTGAACTTATCAAAGACCGGCAGAAAGAATAAGTCTGGGAAAGCAGAGGGTGTCAGAGTGACCAGGCTAGGGACCCTACATTGCTTCTTCCACTGTATCTGACCAGGAGAGGGGCCCCTTTTTGTACCTCTTCAAGGTTGCAGAATTCCTGACGCAGGGCTAGCTTCAGATCAGCGCATTTTCTCCCACATCTCAATGCTACCAGGCACTCCTTGGTCAAATGTGGGACCTAATCAGAGAACACAGGTTCTTAGTGGAGAAGTCTGAGGAAACTCTGTGCTCCTGCTCTGCCTAAAAATGCAGCCAGAGCTTTATCACTCCAACTTAACAGGCTGACACCCACATCCAGGCTCCCCACCTCCTCAGAGGGTCATCCCTGTGGCTCCAGAAATCCACTGTCACAGCACCATGGTAAAACAGGGTGCTTTAAAAGGGGTTCTCCAGTGCTCCTTACTTGCTCAGCTACTCCATGCTGTACAATCTTAGGTGGGGCACTTAACCTCTCTAAGCCTCAGTGCTGTCATCTGAAAAATGGATACAATAACAGTACCCACCCTAAAGGGCACTTGTGAGCATTAAATGAGTTAACCTGTATAAAGCCGGTAGGATAGCGCTTGGTACAGCATAAATGCTCAAGCTATGTCAGCCACTGAGGTCCCTGAGTTCCTTTTATCTCTTTTCAAAGAGAACTATCATCAGGGCACCTGGGTGGCTCATGTTGTTAAGCATCTGCCTTTGGCTCAGGTCATGATCCCAGGGTCCTGGGATCGAGCCCCACACATCAGGCTCCCGGCTCTGCGGGAAGCCTGCTTCTCCCTCTCCTCTCCTACTCCCCCTGCTTGTGTTCCCTCTCTCGCTGTGTCTCTCTGTGTCAGATAAATAAATAAAATATTTAAAAAAAACAAACAAAGAGGACTATAATAAAATTTCCCCATCATTTTTTCTTGGATTATCAACAGGTACGCCCTTTTCTCTCTTCCTCACATTTCCTGGACAGTTGGCACTATTGCTCCGCATAAAGGGCAGTCCCCTTTCATGCATTACCTTTTTCACACCCCAACATTTTTTTACCTGAAACTTTAGAAATATTCCCTTTAACACACTACCAGTTTTCAGCTCTTTCAACATTCCTACCACCTGTCACACCATCAGAACCATGCCATAACCATACCTCTTGAGACTGCTTGTTGAAATAGAAAAGAGCCTATCAGTTAAGCCTTTAATCTTTAATATTAGAGGTGACAGCCCTACTATTATTCCATACTCGTTACCCTCCTAAGATGCAGGTAGTATTAAAACAAAACAATTAGATCAATGATTTAGCTTTAAAAATGAACTGACATTTGGGAAATGGACAGTATGTATGTGACTTTTTTAAAAAACTGAATATACCTTATAGAATAACTCCAGTAACATCTTTTGGCGAGCCCGCTCATAAGGGTCATATGGATACAGCTTTCTTCCAGGATAAGCATCATCCAGGTATTCACAAGCGATGACAGATTCATAGATCAACTGACATTTACTGTTCTCCAGGACAGGAATTTGGCCAAAAGGGTGCTTTGTATAGTACCACTCAGGCTTGTTTCTCAGGTTAATGTTGATAACTTCATGTCTTAAAAAGCAAAGGGAAAAACAAGATAGAACAAGAATGAGAGGCTTACACAGGCAGACACTCACCCCGAAAGCAGAAGCAATCAATTTATAAAATTTAAGTTTGCAATAAGTTTTCCGAAGTTTAAGTTTTTCCAGAGAAAAATACATAGCAACATCACTGTCTCATTCACATAGTTAAGATGTGCTAAATGTTTTCTCTGCCTTGTCTCACGTGCTCCTTGCGATCCCTGGCTCCAGGAGTTTGAACTTCCTGCCCATTATCACTTCAGGGAAACAGCAGAGCCACGCTGAGAGCCAGGCAGTCTGACTCAGAGTGCACACACTCAACCACAGCATTACAGGGTTTCCTGCATTTTAGAGCTTGCAAATAGACATCTGACATTAACAGGTCACAACAGAATATGGTAAATGTCAGCAGTTATGAGCTCGAATTCTGGCATCAGAGTGCCTAGGGTCTGGACAGTCTAGCTTGTGATGTTAGCCAAATTCCTTAACCTCTCTGTGCTCAGTGTCCTTAATTGTAAAATGGGATAATAACTGTACCATCTCTTGGCACTGTTGTGAGGATTGAATAAGTGAGTATATCTAAAGTGCTTAGGTACATAAGCATCAATAACCTCTTATTCTTCCCATTATTAATTATTATTAGAGGCTCAAGCCTATAAAGTTACCAGAAGTGCTCACCTATGTTTAAAAGATTAAAGGAAACAAATGAGTATGTTCTTTGCTCAGTCAAGGAGATGGTCTTAAATCCTAAAGCAGTGGTTTTCAGCAGGGTGTGATCTTGCCCCATCTGCAGGGACACAAGTCAATGTCTGGAGACATTTTTTTGGTCATCATAGCTAATGGATAGAGGGCAGGGATGCTGCTAAATACCCAACAATGCACAGGACAGCACCCCACCCCAACCCAAACACACATATACACACAACCAAGAACTACCTGGCCCAAAATGTCAATAGTGCCAAAGCTGAGAAACCCTGCCCTAAAGAAAGCTACCAGTTTGTCACTAAGGGTAAAACATCGAGCTATTGTTATTTTAAAATAGGTAACCTTAGGGCCAAGGAGATTTGAGCAATAAGGAAGAATCTGGAAATACATTCCATATACACTCAACAAAGCAGAATTACATAATTTTGTTTAAAATGTCTCTATATTAGTATTTCTCTGACATGAATCTGAAACTCTGAAGTCATCCCTTAAAGGATGGGCTCTCCAAGAGTCAAAAGCCTCACTTTGGCTTTGAGGCCAGCTGCACGCCCGAGCCCTCTCCCCCCCCCCCCACCCCCGTCCCTATTCCAGCAAACTGGCTCTGCCTTCCATATCCAGACCTCCTCTGCAGGTGCTGGTTTCACAAAATTCCTTCTGGAAGAAAATGTACCTATTTCTCAAGGATGTCAGAACCTTCAAGACGCCTCTTCACCGAAGTTCTTTTCTATGTCATTGTTTGGAACTATCTGTTCATTCATTCATTCAAATAATATGTTTAAACACCTACCTTGCACCAGGCTCTCTTCTAGCTCATGAATAAAAGAGACAAAAGCCCTACCCTCAAGAACTTAACATTTAGCCTTGGGGGCGGGGGGAGCGGTGGAAGCGGGGCTGGGTAGCGTGGAGGAAAGAGGGAGAAACAAAAATGTCGGAGGCGGGAAGCGCCGTGAAGAAAGTGAGTGCAAGGGCACTGAAGGGGCTGGGGGCGGGGGCCCGCAGGCTGGAGCAGTCCGAGAAGGCCTGGGGAGCCTCCGCAGTGCCCTGCCTTCGGCAGCGAGGCGGCACGGAGCCTTCTCACCGGAGGCACCGTTAGGTTTGCACTGAGTTGTCCTGAAAGTTTGACGCACGGACACGGCTGGGAAGAAAGCTCGGCGGTTCAGGACCGCCCGCTACAGAGCCCGCCCTTGGCTAACCCTTTACTGACTTTGCCTCAGAAGCAAGGGTCACAAGGAGCCCCTCTGAAGTCTGAGCAGGGCGCCCCGGATTTTGAACACCCCGCGCGCCTGTACGTCTCTGGCCTCCGGCTTCTCACCTGATGCCTTTGGCCCGGAGGACAAGGCGCGTCCTGTGCGCGTAGGGGCAGAACCTCATGCTGTAGACGCGGATCAGGCCCTCTGGGACCGGCCCCGGGGGGAGGGTTCCTGTGGGGGGTGGGGAGGAGGCAGGGGCCCGTAAGCCCACCGGCAGAGTGGCTCACTCGCTTCCCCGGGGACCCCAGGAGAACCGCGCGCGCCCCGCCTCCCGCGTCTGAGAAGACTCATTTGTATGTGGCTTTTGTGCAGAGGATCCCTTCAAATCCCTCCTCGCCGCGCTGGCCTGGGGGCCAAGGCCGAGCAGCCCCCTCACCAGAGCCAACTTTCCCAGCCACGCGGCGCCCCCAGTCCGGGGACCGCTGTCGAGGGGGCTCACCTTTCCCCAAGGCCCTAGTCGCATCCTCCATGATCTCCGAGCGTCTGCGAAGCTTGGAGCGCTCGCCGCGGCCGCAGGCTCCGAGGACAGCCGCGCTCCAGCGCGCCCCTCCTGCCCCAAATTCAATTTTTGAGAGACTGAGCTCGGGGTGGGGGCGGGGGCCTGTAGGGTGGCGAAGGAGGCAGAGGGGAAGTGATCTGGGACGGGAGCCTGGATACCTTAACCAAGAGAGCACATCCCCCGACTTGGAAGCCTAAATGTTGGGAGTGGGCAAGAAACCCCTGAAAAGTACCCCTTGCCTTGAACACGTGGGTAGGGCATTCGGTGGGGTCTCTCCTCCACATCAAAAAATCCCTGAAGAATGGGCATTTGAACTCCAGCATGTCCTTCAAAGGAGTTTCATAAAACTTGACCAGGGTAATGATACGTTTTCTTTCCCACCCTAAGCCCTTCCTCCTGCATCTCCCTATAGGGACACAACCTCCCTATAATAAGATTTGTTTTATATAAAGCCAAATTTCCTCAGGATATAGCAGATAAGGAAGAAAAACTTGTTAGTGTTGAGATCTTGCATAACCCTGAGAGTGAGTACCTCCTTAAACTTTGTGCCCTAGACCCCACACTAGCTTCACCTTAGTTCTGGCCCTATTTGTGAGATTTTGCCCTAGCTATGGAAAACAGGTGATTAATAGAAACATTATTTACCTAGAGGCAGAAACAAATTTGTGAACTCTTTCCACCCCCAGCATACATTTCAGAGAAAACTCTTTCTGATTGCTATGGAAAACATGGCCAACAGCCCAGCAATGTGGGGCCACTTGGATGGCTCTTCCATCTACCTTAGATAAAAGAGGTAGCTGGCCTTTGCTCAGACCCTCATAGGCTGAGATCCTGAAATTCAGCAGGTGGTAAAATAATTCCTTTAATTTTACACAACTTAGTTGAAATGGGAATTGTTTGTTGATGGACTGTATAAGATTGACAGGTAAAGAAGGAAAGAAAACTATGATAAGTCCCACTTACACTAAACGATTTCCATTGACTACCTTATTTGATTCCCATGACTACTCAGTCAGGCAGCTAGTATTATTCCTAATTTACACAACAGAAAGCAGCCTCAGAAAAATGAAATTATTTGCCCAAAGTGACCAGCTAATGGGGTCAAAGAACTTTAAAAGTCTAAAGCCTGACTTACTGTCTTGACCTCTAAAGGTGGTAACAGTATGAAGAGGAAAGAACATAAGTCCTGGAAAAGACATAGCAATAATAGCTGCTCATATGTTAGCTGAACCTAAATAGCTTTGTTAAAATGACAGAACCTAATTATGTAACTTATGAATGGGTAACTGCTGGCCTTTGGAATTCCAATCTATTTAGAAATTCTTGGTTAATAGGTTAATATTTTTTTCTACTGAATAAGAATCTTTTAAAATCTTCAGAATAGTGACTCAGTTACATTTTTTGCGAAGTCAGTGACTGCGTGTGATTTTGAGTAGTTGTCACTTTATGAGAATTGGAGAATGGCAAAAATGTTTGCATAACTGTTCTCTGAAAATAAAAACGCATATATGTCAGCAAGACATCTGGTATTGAAAAAGGTAAATTGACTTGCTAAGCTAACAATTTTGTGCTTTGGGAGACAGATAAAGTAATAGGATGACTGCTGTTCTGGAGCTAATTTTGATCAAGAAGAACAAATTCGGTGGTAAAATGAAAGCAACAAACATAACCATGTCATGGGGGACTTTCTAGTAGACAAGCAGATGACTCCCAGGCAGACAAATGTATCCCCACATAAAGAAAGCAGATTTCAAAGAGCTGAGAGAAAATATATCCAGATTCTAAAGGGGAGGGCCATAAGAGGAATGTGAAATTGTTAAAATAAAAATAAATGATTATTTACACGTATTTGGTGCTTTATGTATATTCACTCATTTAATCCTTAAAATAGTCCTATTAGAATTCTATAATTTCATTTTAAAAGATGACTAAGCTGACGTTGGCAAGGTCAAGTCACCTGTCAAAAACCTCACAACTAATAAGAGATAGAGGGAGGATTATGAAGCCTGGAAGTTCAACTGCTGGGGCAGGACTCCAACCAGAATCTTATTATTTATACCAGAGATGGGCAAACTTTTCTGTAAAAGTTGAGATAGTAAATACTTGAGGCTTTTCCAGCCATCTCATCTCAACTACTCACCTCTACATTTTAGAGTGAAAACAGCCATAGATAATATATAAATGAACGGGGGTAGCTGTGTTCCAATAAAACATTATTTATGGATGCTGAATTTCAATTTTATATATATTTTTAAAAGACTTTTTTTTTAGAGTAGTTTTAGGTTCACCACAAAACTGAGACTATATGGAGATTTCCCATATACTCACTACCCCTACACAAACACAGCCTCCTCCACCATCAACACCATTTAAAAATGTAAAAACCATTCTTCGCTCTTGGGCTGTACAAAACCCAGCAGTGGACCGGATTTGGCCTGCTAGCCTTAGTTTGCCCATCCCTGCTCTATATTGACAATGACAGAATTAGCAATGGACAAACTGGGAATTCCACTTGTAAAGTGGACGGTTACTGGATCACCTTTTTACTATGCCAGAAGAGAATACATTTCCAACTTTCTTCTCCTCATTGCCACCTCTTAAGGGAAACCAACTCTAAGATTTGGTAGCTACTATTTATTAAAAGTATATCTGTGTAGGGGCGCCTGGGTGGCTCAGTCATTAAGCGTCTGCCTTCAGCTCAGGTCATGATCCCAGGGTCCTGGGATGGAGCCCCGCATCAGGCTCCCTGCTCCGTAGGAAGCCTGCTTCTCCCTCTCCCACTCCCCCTGCTTGTGTTCCTGCTCTCGCTGTCTCTGTCTCTCTCAAATAAATAAATAAAATCTTAAAAAAAAAAAAAGTATAAGCATCTTCCTTCAGCTCAGGTCATGATCCCCGGGTCCTGGGATCGAGTCCCGCATCAGGCTCCCTGCCCAGCGGGGAGCCTGCTTCTCCCTCTGCTTCTCTCTCTCTCTCTCTCATGAATAAATAAATAAAATCTTTTTTTAAAAAAGTATATCTGTGTAGGGGAAGTCACGTTCTAAAATGGGAGTGTATTTGGTGTAGTTACAAAAGAATAGACAGAACAATGGAAACATTTCTTCCTCTGAAGGGAAGCAATATAGTGCCAAGATTCTCACTTGGCACTATATTTAAACTCTGGCTTTGGCACTTAGGCAAGCTCTCTAACCTCCTGGACCTTCATCTTCCTCATCTCTAAAAAGAGAACACGAATAGTACCTACTTGATAGGTTTTGAATATTGAATGAAATTGTGCACATCATCAGTATAGTAAGAGCTCAGTGTACTTGGAAAATTAATGACTAATACTAGTGGATAAGAACACATTTAACAGCATAGCACACTCCAATTTTGTATCTATAAAGATGAAATGCACTGCAATTCTGCTTTGCCAAGCACACTAGAATTGAAATTCAACTCAGAATACTTATTTCACCAGTTACCAATTTAATACCAGTTGAATGGGTTGAATGCTGCAGGCTACATTTCAGTAATGTGGTTTTGAATCTTACCACTGAATGCTATGGTTTCCCTAGAAAGATTTTAATTACAACATTTAAACTTATCCCTACGTCCTTTTTAAGAACCAATGTGTACCTTTTTGAAATCCTATAAGCAAACTCTCTTTCTTATGTTATTATATCATGTTTATACCTCTATTATACTGATTCACTCAAGCGAAAAGAAAAAAAAAAACAACACAATAGTAATAGCACCATACAAAACCTGCTCTAAATCCTTTCTAGCTACCTGAAATATAATCAGATCTGTATTGAAAATGTGGGAAACTTCAGTCATGGGTGATAATGACTCAAGCCTTCTAGGAAAAGAATGCCACTGCAGAAATAATTTCTTTACTCTAATTACACAAGTCTCCACTTTGAGAAAAGAAGAGAAAGTGGAGTTTGCATTTTGCAGTTTTTAAATTTTTTTTTTTTTTTGCCACACCAATCTCTGGCAGTAACAGAAACCAGAGGACATTACTCTTAATATTTTAAAAGCCTAATTTACATGAAAAATTATGTTACTGGGTATTCAAAAATTGTTCACCAAGTTCAAAGAGTGGGATAAGTAAGGGAAAAGGCTCTATTTTCACATAGGCCCAAACTCAGGGCTGTTTCCAGGAAGTTAGGATCATAGGGAATCTTGTGTTCTAATGCCTTTGGGACATTTTTATTTCATTTTTATTGAGATATAATTGACATACGGCTCTGTATGAGTTTAAGATACACAGCATAATGACTTGATTTGCCTAAATTGTATAATGATCACCACAATAAGTTTAGTTAACATCCATCTCCTCATACAGGTATTTAAAAAAATTCTCCCCATGAGATCTTTTAAGATCTACTTTCTTACTTAGCAACCTTCAAATATACCATACAGCAGTGTTAAATATAGTCATCTCATTGTACATTACATCCCCAGGACTTATCTTATAACTGAAAGTGTGCACCTTTTGACCACCTTTATCCAATTCCCCCCTGCCCCCCATCTGCGATATATCGAATACGATTACTAAAGTTATCAGAAGTGGGCCTTCATCTTCCCGTTAGGGAAAACTTAGTCAAAGGAGACTTGTTTTTAAGTACTGGATTCTGCTTTCCTATTCCTATTTCTCTTTACAGCTTGGGGGATCAAAGAAAAAAAATTACAGCATTTTAATATGATAACATTTGAATGAGTAAAGGCGGATTTTCAAGATCCTGAAATCAGCCAAAGTCAAACGTTTGTAAAATCAAACAAAACACACTAAGTTTGGAAAAGGAACATCAGCACTTCCTGTTAAATCCCAGACATAATAGTGGTGTGTCATAAAGGTGGATACTATCCTCTCCTGGCTCAACCTCTAAATGCTAGTGAATAAAGACAGACCCTGGAGGAAGCATATGTAAACTCCTACCTCTGAATGACTGTAGGAGTTCAGGCTAGCTTGGTGACCTTGGGAAATACACCATTTTCTATGCCCTGGTGTTCCCATCCATAATTTAGAGCGAAGAGTACCAATACATTCTGTGATTTGGGGAGGATTACTTCAGATACTGATTGAGAGGCATTCCCTATCTAGTAAGCATGTAACATTAGCCATTATTTTTATTAGTATTTGAATGTAGCAGGAAAGTCCCATATGTACTCACAAAGTGAGGACTTTCCCGTGGACCAAATTCCCGTGCCTGCCAGTACCCTATAATGTAGCTAACCTAGTGGCGCCCAATGCAGGGCTGAGAATTCCTGATCCGAGGTCTTTACATGTCTCCAGCCAAATCAGAACAATAAGAACAATTTAGAGGTTCTTTTTTTTGTTTGGGTTTTTTTTTTTTTCCCTAAGCTAAAGGGATTCGCTTTAAAATTACAGACCTCGCACTTTTCTTGATGTTAAAGTCTTTGATGAAACTGATGAAGATAAGTCGTTGGATTTTTCTTCTAAAAATGTTAGGCAAACCCGAAATTCCTGAAAAATCCCCAAATCCAGAACTGACCTCAAACCCCTTCTCCCTTTCAATGCCTCGCAGACCGGACAAACCCACCCGGTGGAGGTGATAAAGAGAGACGCCCCGAGGGACCTCCGCGCGTCCAGCTGACGGAACCTGATGCGGATCGGAGGCGACAGCAGAGGACAGTGGCAGCAGAGGGAGGCGGGGCCCAGGCGGATCCCGCCCTTAGAACGCGATCCTACCCGCCAACTGGCCGCGGCGCTTGGAGCTCCAGCCAATCCTTAAAGCCTTTGGAAGCTCCACGGCCAAGCGGTACTAAGCTGAGCCAATGGGCGGTCGCGTTACAGGCTGCTGGACACCGAAGTCGCGAGTCGTCCCCGTGTCTGTGGCTGGCAAAAGTGGAAGCCGGGTAGTGGCTGGTCGTGGTACCTCTGTGCCCGAGTCTACATCCGACTGAAATCCGCCCGCAGCCGACCCGAGCCTAGAGGGTGGGCCAGGCAGACGGCGGCAGGGGTGGGTCCGCCCGGAGCCTGGGCGTTGGTGGGAGTAGCCTGCCGGAAGCCTTTTGTGAAGTCAACGGGTTCTCACTGCCTCTCAGGGTGCGGTCCCCAGATCGCCTGCATCACCATGTGACGGGAGGAAGCTCATTTCAAATATGGACTTCGCAGCTCACCCCAGACCCACTATATCGGAAATCCAGCGGTGAGCTGTAGGTGATTGTTACGCGCTCTTTTTAAGTTTAAGAATACAGGAAAGTGTAATGGGGCCGGTCGACAGCTCCCTGATTTTGACACTAAGAGCAGTGTGCTGGCTGTGTTCTCCACATCTTTCTGCCATCATCTTAAGGACTCACAATCTCAGGATCTTGGTGAAATCATCTGTAGAATGAAATGATGTTCTCCGACCTACCTTCTTCTCATGGAGCTGAGGTGATGATAAAAATTAGAAGCCCAGTGGGCTATGGAAGCTATGGAAGATGGCATATTTCTGAATTATTCATCCAGACGTACACTGAATTGATGGATGTGGCCTTCACAGTATTTAATTACTTCTATGGGATGCCTACTGGGTACCCATAGAGTAGGTAGGAGTTGGAGTAGGAGTTGGTTGGAAAAATATGAAGGGGATTGAGATTGGAGACTGGGAGACCAAATAGGAGGACACCTAGTCACCTGACTTTGAAGCGATGTGAGTCTGGTCTTCAGTGGTGACAATGGGAATAAGAAAGGTAGTGAAGTTGACGGAAAGAATGAGGAACTGAAAACTTGAGAGGGCAGCTCTTGAAACAACAGGGTATCCAAGTGGAAATGTCCTATGGGCAGTAAGAAATGTAGGTTGAAGTTCAGTTCTCACCAGAGATGATGACTTAGAGGTTTTCAGCATAGACTATGATAAAACCCTTAGAATCACGTGAGCATCCTGAGACAGGAAATGTGCTTACATTTCTGCAAGAGGGCCTTAAGGAAACCCCACAGTTAAGCCATGATGTCAAATCAGAGAAGGTGATCCAGTGAAATGTGAGAGCACTTGGTAAAATTAAACCTTATTTTTACTCATATTAGTGAAGGAAAATATCAGACATTTCTTCATTGCTGACTCCTGCCCCTATCAGAGCCCATAGTCACAGGCCTCAGGGCTGTTCTGCAAGTAGAGATTGAAGAAACCTCGAAGGACCTTGGGCTCAGTGAGGAGGGCTGATACTGCAGGATCTTCCCTCATAGCTGCCATCCAGAGCTTAAGTTTTGGAGTGTGGTCTACACAACTGTGGGAAGAGAAAAGGATGAAGGCATGAGCTAGGTTAACTAGGAAGGCATTACAAAGGCTCCTATATCATTATCACTCTGCAGTTTCCTTTTTGTTTTCCTCTAATCTTTTAAAGTAATTTCTTTAAAAGGCACATAATCAGAATATTAGATTTGGAAGATATTGTAGAGGTCTTTGTTTTATGGAAAAGGAATCTTAGAGTGAAGTGACTTGCTCAGTTAGCATGAGAATTATTTGTCCAGGCAGACTAATAACTTTTTAAAAGAACATGAAAGACAACCATGAATGTTATATATGTATTCTACAGCCAGACTGAATAACTCTAAGCTCTAAGAATTCAGAGTAAGCCGAGGTGGCTGCCAAACTTCAAAACATGGAGTTTGGAAAATAGTGTGGGAATTCTGCTGGTAAATGAGAGGTGGCTTTGGTCATAACAATCCTGCATGACATACTTATAAAAATGTACATCCTTACGGGGTTTTAGCCAGAAGGGAAGGAGTAAGTTACTTTTAAACATTTTACTACATGTCATAGAATTCTCTGTCCACCCCTCCCCCACACACTCCAGGAATGGAGAAGGGTGGTGAGTATATGCCCTGGACAGTCCAAGATTCTCCTCCTGTCTGCCTGTTCCCATTCATACCAGTTATATAAAATATTCTAATTTTTGTTCAGAAAAAGGTGAATATATACTCTTCCAATTATCATTATCCTAAATTATGTACAGAATATTCAAATGTCTTACTCATTTAACTCCAGAACTTCCAGCCATTCAAACCAGGGCCAGATGAGGTAATCAATCATAGAAAGAGAATTGCCACCAAAGAAGGTTGTCTTCTTATTGGTAAGAACCTGGACATTAAACAGCATAAGAGTACTTGTTATTTGTGCATTTAGTAAGACTCATCATCAGAAATGATGAAGGCAAGTAGAGCAAGTGAGAGCGGCAGCTTTTACCCTGACATATTCAACCTGGCTTTTTGTTTGAACTTTAGAATCTCCTGGTTTGGGATGAAGCCCACAACCAACAAAATAAACTGGAAAGCAGAGAAAAATAAAGCAAGCAACAATACAAGATCTTTGTAATACATATACCCAGCAAAGGACTGGTATTCAGAATATAGAGAGAACTCCCAGGAATCAATAAGAAAAAAGGCAAATAACTCAATAGAAAATGGGGCCAGACTTGACCTTCACGAAAAAGGATATTCTAATGGCCAAAAACCATGTGAAAAGGTATTCAACTACATTAGTCATCAGGGAAATGCAAATTAGAGCCAGAATGTAATACCACTACACATCCTTCATAATAGTTAAAATGAACAAGACAAAATTAACAATTAGGGTGTGGAACCACTGCTGGTAGGAGTATAAGCTGGTGCAACCATGTTTTAACAGTATGTACTAAAGCCGAGGGCATGCATTCTCTAACCCAGTAATTCTACCCTTTGGAAATGTGAACATATGTTCACCAAAAGATAGGTGGAAGGATGTATTGTAATAGCCCCAAAGTGGAAATGTTTACTGTCCAACAGGAGTAAAATAGATAAACTGTGCTATAGTCATATGTTGGAACACAAAGGCTAGGAATGAATTACATACAATATAGATGAATCTCACAAAGCTAATATTGTATGAAAGAAGCCAGACCCAAAAGTGCATATTATATAATTCCATATGTATAAAGTATAAAAACAGCCCAAACTAATGTCTCTTGATATGGGTGCTGGTTCCATGACTAGTCATCAAGCTGTACTCATGCTTTGGATACTTCTCTGTATGTAACACTTCAATAAAAAAAATGACTCAAAATACACTGGAAATAACTGGGTGAACTGTTAGATGTCAAATAAAATTATTTGAAAACCAAACACAAATAGTATGTTTCTATAATTCAAGAATGTGCATTGGTGTTAATGGTTTTAACAAAGTAGAGGAACTAATTAACACCAAACCAACTTACCTTTTATAAAACTTCCATAGTTTTCCTCAGGACCCATATAACATTCTGCATTGTAGATTGATGGCTTATATCTACTGGAGTATTTGTCTTTTGTCTATAACCAAGCTAATCATCTGAAGAGTATAGACCATATCTTACTTTCTACCTACCACACTACCCAGTAGAGTGCCTTGTAATTATTAGGCACTCAGAACTGTACAACAAATCAATGTTAACTGGGCCTGTCCTTCAACTGTAGTGTCTGGTTATTATATTGTGTATAAATTAAGTATGGCAGTTTCAGTCAGAAGAAAATAACCCACTCAGCAGCCTAAAACATGGAAATGGCACTACTCACTTTATGGCATGACTTCTTAATCTGGAGTCTATGAAGGTAGATGGGGAAAAAGTACATACTGCCCCTCTCCCCCACTAACCCCAAATTTAGCAGGTATTTCCATTATGAAATGAACCACCGTAGCATTAATCTTATATATTTTAATTTAAGCATTTAAAAATGCTGAGAAGGGGTTCATAGGCTCTACTAGGTTGCCAAACACAAAAGAAGTCTTAATCTTCAAAGAAACAATATCCCATATGTATTCTCTGACCATAATGTAATTAGATTAGAAAATAGCAAAAAGTTTAGGAAATTTACAAGTACACTGATAAATAGCTAAGCAATGAGAAAATCAAATGGAAACAGCAAAAAAAAAACCAATTTAGAACAGAACAATGAAAGTCCTGCCTATTAAAACTTAACTGGATACAACTAAGATGTTACTTAGAAGAATGTATTGGTCATTAATGCATTATACAATCAAGAAAGACTGAAAGTACGTGCATTAGCTACTGAACTCCTGAGCTAGTTAGTAAAAGAGCAGAAACAGCCAAACCCTATCAAATAATTTCAGAGATTAGAAACACAGGGAAAGTAACCCAACACATTTTATCAGGTTAGAATATCCTTAATGTAAAAAACAAAGACACTATGAAAACAAAATAATAATCCAACCTCATTAACAATATGCAAATTCTTTAAATATTAACTAGTTCTAGAGTATATATGAAAATCCATTGGAAACAAGTAGGTTTTATCTCAGTAATGCTAGGATGGTTCAACACCAGAAAAATTTGTCAATAACACCATATTCATCAGATTAAAGGGAAAAAATTCCATGAACATCTCAATAGATGTAATAGATACAAACAAAACATTCAACAAAATTAAACACATTCATGATTTTTGTTAAAATTAGCAAACTAGTAACAATTTTCTTAATGAAAATAAGTTCCAAAAAAATCTACAACAAACTTAATACTGATAAAATATTAGGATGCATTCCCATACAAGGCAGGAACTATGTCTTCCATCAGTAAAAACCCAAGGCTGAGAGTGAATGGAATGTCTCAAGACCAAGAGAAAGACTTGATCTAAAGGCCCAAATGACAGCTGTGCCCCAAAGGAGGTAAAACTCATCCAGGCTTCTCTAAGTGTCTTTATGATTCATGACAAAATCTGGTGGGAAATGTTTATTATGCACTATTAAAAAAAAACAAACAGCATGGTATCTATGCCCTGATTACAGTTATGTTAACTTTTTTCTCCCTTCCTTCCTTCCTTCCTTCCTTCTTTCTTTCTTGTTTTGTTTTGATATATAGACAAGGACTAGACACAGG